TATTAACTAAAATTTTTTGTATTAAATTTTTTTTTTTAGACTTTTTTCAATAATTTCAATTGTTTTAATTAAATTCAATTTTTTTCAAGTAATTTTTTAGATTTTTGAAATAAATTTCAAATTTCAATGAATTTTCTGAATTATTTAAATTTAATTTTTTTTCAATAAATTTTTTCAAATTTCGGATAACCCCAAATTTCTTCAGTTACTTAACAATTTTTTTTAATTTATTTCAATTTTTTCAATTATTTTTCAAGATTTTTAGAATTATTTATAATTTTTTTAATTAATTTCAATTTTTTAAAATTATTTTTCTACATCTGTATAACTAATTTCAATTGTTTTAATTAATTTAATTACTTTTTCTAGATTAGTGAAATCAATTTCAATTTTTTCAATTTATTTCCTAAATTATTTAATTTTCAATTTTTTTTCAATTATTTTTCTAGATTTTTATAAATAATTTCAATTGTTTTAATTGATTTCAATTATTTTTCTGTATTTTTTAAATAAATTTCAATTTTTTTCAATTATTTTTCCATATTTCTTTAGTTAATTTCAATTCTATTAATTAATTTCAATTCCTTTTTTAGATTAGTGAAATAAATTTTAATTATGTCAATTAATTTCCTAGACTATTTAAATTATTTTTTTTTCAATTAATTTTCTAGATTTTAAGAATTAATTTCAAGTAATTTTCTAAATTTTTGATATAAATTTCAATTCTTTTCAATTAATTTCCTTGATTATTCAAATTTCTATTAATTTTCTAGATTTCTTCAGTTACTTTCAATGCTTTGAATAAATTTCAATTTTTTTCAATTATTTCTGTACATCTTTAGAAATAATTTCAATTGTTTTAATTAATATCAATTATTTTTCTAGATTTTTGAAATAAATTTCAATTTTTTTCAATTACATTTCCAAATTTCTTCAATTACTTTCAATTTTTTAAAAATTAATTGAATTTTTTTTCAATTATTTTTCCAGATCTTTATAAATAATTTTAATTGTTCTAATTAATATCAATTATTATTTTTCTGGATTTTTAAAATAAATTTCAATTTTTTTCATTTAATCTCCTTGATTATTCAAATTTCAATTTTTTTCAATTAATTTTCTAGATTTCTTCAGTTACTCACAATTTTTTTTCAATTACTTTTCTAGATCTTCAGTATTAATTTCAAGTAATTTTCTAGATTTTTAAAATAAATTTCAATTATTTTTAATTTTCTATATTTTTGTTATTTTCCATTTTTTTCAATTATTTTTCTAGATTTTTAGAATTATTTTTAATTTTTTCAATTAATTTCAATTTATTTTCTGAAATTTTTGAATTTTCAACTTTTTTTGAATTATTTTCTAGATTTTTAAAAATTTCAATTTTTCTTCAATTAATTTTCGAAATTTCTTCTGTAACTTTCAATTCTTTCAATTCATTTTAACATTTTTTCATTTATTTTTCTTAATTTTTGCAATAAATTGCAAATTTTTTAAAATTAATTTTCTGGATTTAGAAAATTTCAATTTTTTTTCAAAATATTAGTTCTCAAGATTTCTTAAGTTTTTAAAAAAAATTTTTTTTGGATTAATTTCAATATTTCTTCAATTCCTTTTCTATAGGTTTTCTTCGCATTAATTTCAAATTTATTTAAATTTCATTTTAAATTAGTTTTCCTGAATTTTTAAAAATTCATTACAATTGTTTTTTTTTAAATTATAATTCGGAAATAATCGTCAAAATTTAAGTTTGTAAGGGTGATTCTACAATAGCATAATTAACATTTTTAAGAATTGAAAATAACCCTTAAAAATTAAAGGCCATCTTAATGGTGATTCGACAATAAAATTTCATAATGATTAATAAAAATTGGAATTAAAAGAAAAATTGTTATTCTTTAGGGTAATTCTACAATGTGATTAACGTTTTGGCAAAATTCGAAAATAAACTCAAAATTTAAGTTAATTTTTGTCTAATTTTCCAAATTGAATCAATCTTGTTAAATATTAATATTGTTTTATTGTATAGCGAACATAAACTCAAAATTTTAGTCATTTAAGGTGAAAAATTTAGTTAAATTAATTAATTAATTAATTAATTAATTAATTAATTAATTAAAATTTTAGTCATTTAAGGTGATTCTACAATGAGTTTTTTTTTGTTTTTTTTGTTAAATGTTTTTTTTTTATTGTACAATGAACATAACTACAATATTGAAGTCATTTAAGGCAATTCTACAATGGAATTTATTTGTTTGTCAAAAACGCGAAAATACCCGGAAAATTTTATTCTCTTAGGGCAATTTTACAATAGCATGGAAACTAAATCGTTTTTAAAATTTTTGATTTTTTAAATTTAATTTTTTTATTTCAATTTTTTTGTAATTAAATTCAAAATTTAAGAGAAAAAAAGAAAGAAAAAAGAAAAAAAGAAGGAAAAAAAATATCCGGTAATTAAAGTAGAAATAAAATAAAATTTTTAAAAAATGAAAAATAATTTTTTCTTATTTGCAAAGAAAAAAGACCGGAAGTGATTGATGAAATATCACGTGACAACTGGTAGCAAATGGGGCAAAAAAGTCAACTTGGAATAAAACACGTTTTGAAATGATAAAAACAAAAACAAAAGAAAAAGAAAAAGAAAAAGAAAATAAAAAAGAAAAAATTGTGCAAAATGACTTAATAAGGTTTTCTCGCTTTTTTATCAAATTGAATATCTTGCGAATGTCCTCTAATTTTCTTATAATATACCTCCATATGAATAAATAAGAGATGAGCAGTAAACCAAGTTCTTTCTGAAAATCCTATTTCTGATAAGAGACCGGTTCTCCCAGTTACAAAATTCCTTAATTGTGTATTAACATCAGATAGAACATCATCCCTTCGCTTGCCAGTAAATTATTTCAACTCTATCTCTCTCATTCGCTCATAAAATAGAAAAAAAAAAAAAATCTTTTATCAGCTGTAATTTCATATCATTTTTCTTCGACATTGTCTTTTATTGGACACATTTTATTGTCAATAAAGATTTTTATCTTTTTCTATATTATATTATTCTTCTTCTCTTATTTTATGAATTGAGAATTTTTATGTATTTTTCTTTCATTCTTTCTTTCTTGATTCAAATTTTCTTCATAATAAAAATTTTCTAATTTGGACTTAAAACAACTTTTTTTTTATTTTTAATTAAAATTTTTTGGAACAGTTTTGTAAAATATTTCTGATTATAAATTAATTTCAGTTATTACAACTCCAATATAGTTTCTAATTTTTATTAAATAAAAAAATTAAAAAATTAAAAAATTAAAAAAAATTAAAAATTAATTATCTACAATTAACTTTAATTTTGGTGGTCATTCTAATATTACTTTCATTGGAGGATTACCTTAATTGAACTAAATTTTGTAATTTTTTTTTGTTATTTAACATCAATTCTTTTGTGAAACCACTCTAATGAATATCAACTTTATGGTTGATCATCGCTATAATTAAATTATATTGTAGAATCACTCTAATTGACCTTCATTTTATGGTTAATAGAGTTTTCATATTAATTTCATTGTAGAAACACTGTAATTTACCTCAATTTTCTAGTTGATCGACTTTTAACATTCTTTTCTTTGTAGAATCACCCTAATGACATAAAATAACCTAAATTTTGTTTAATTAAGTTTTTACTTTCATTTCATTGTAGAATCACTCTGATTGATCTAAATTTTATATTTAACTGGGTTTTCACATTAATTTCATTGTAGAATCACCCTTATTGAACTAAATTTACTAGTTAATCGATTAATAACATTCGTTTCATTGTAGAATCACCCTAATTGACCTAAATTTTCTAGTTGATCTATTTTTAACATTCGTTTCATTGTAGAATCACCCTTATTGACCTAAATTTACTAGTTAATCGATTAATAATATTCGTTTCATTGTAGAATCACCCTAATTGACCTAAATTTACTAGTTAATCGATTAATAACATTAATTTCATTGTAGAATCACCCTTTTATTGACCTAAATTTACTAGTTAATCGATTTTTAACATTCGTTTCATTGTAGAATGACCATAATTGACCTAATTTTTTTAATTAATCGGTTTTTAACATTTGTTTCATTGTGGAATCACCGTAATCGAAAATTTAATGAACAGTTCAGTAAAATTTCTTTTAATTTTAAAAAAGTACAAAAATAAAAATAATAAAAATACAAGACAGTAAAAATACAAAGAAATATAAAAATAATTTTAAATACGGAAAAATACTAAAAAGCTCGAAAATTTAAGGAACAGTTGAGTAAAATTTCTTTTAATTATACAAAAGTACAAAAATAAAAATAATAAAAAATACAAAGAAATACAAAAATAATTTTAAATACGGAAAAATACTAAAAAGCACGAAAATTTAAGGAACAGTTCAGTAAAATTTCTTTTAATTATACAAAAGTACAAAAATAAAAATAATAAAAAAAAAGAAATACAAAAATAATTTTAAATACAGAAAAATACTAAAAAGCTCGAAAATTTAAGGAACAGTTCAGTAAAATTTCTTTTAATTATAGAAAAGTATAAAAATAAAAATAATAAAAAATACAAGACAGTAAAAATACAAAAACAATTTTAAATACAGAAAAATACTAAAAAGCTCGAAAATTTAAAGAACAGTTCAGTAAAATTTCTTTTAATTATAGAAAAGTATAAAAATAAAAATAATAAAAAATACAAGACAGTAAAAATACAAAAACAATTTTAAATACAGAAAAATACTAAAAAGAACGAAATTTTAATGAACAGTTCAGTAAAATTTCTTTATTTTAATACAAAAGTACAAAAATACAAATAATAAAAAATACAAGAGTACAAAAATACAAAACAACGGAAAATACAAAAATAATTTAAAATATAAAAAATACCAAAAATTTTAAAGAACGGTTCATTAAAATTGCTTTTTTTTTTCCTAAAAAAAACTAAAAAAATAAATAAATTTCAAAAAGAAACTTACCGCGACGAGTGCGCTGAGAGCTTCAATTCGCATAGTAGCTGGCCAGGCCAGCGAAAAGGCCGTTGCTGAGAAGCGCGCGGATCGAAATTTGGAATAAAATCGATCCTCGGCAATAAAAAAAAAATTTCTTGATTATTCCTCTTATTTTATACTTTTTTTTCTCCTTCTTCTTTTTCGTTTTCTTTATATAGAAATATATTTATATTTTTATTTATAAATATTATTTTATAATAGTGTCCAACTTTGGTTTCTCCAGCTCTCTTTCACGTTCCCTCTTATCTCAAACAGACGACAATCCATCGATTATTATTCGAAATCTCGATCGGCACCTAAAATCCGATCCGCCCAATTTCATTTTATTCTCCTCTTTTCCATCTCGATTCACTGACATGACTAGCTTCGTCGATCTGCAAAAAAAACAATTTTTTTTTTTATTATTATTTATTAATTTTATTAGGAATTACGATTTTTTTAACTAATATTTTCTATTTTACTTTTTTGAGGTTAAATTCCATTTCCTTGGGTCCAAGTTAGTAGAAAACGAGTACAATGAAGAGTAATTTTTTTTTTGAACTAAAATTTTTTTTGAATTTTGAAAAATTTTTATATTTTACAATTTTGATTGAAAAAAGTATTTGAATTTGGCAAAATTTGTTAATTATTTTTGGATTTTTCAATAAAAATTGTAAAGAATGCAAATTTTTCAAAATTCAAAAAAAAAATTTGAAAAATAAAAATTTTGAATTTTATCTTTTGAAAAAATATCTTTCATGGTACTCGTTTTCTACTAACTTGGACCCAAGGAAATTAAATTTAACCTCAAAAAATTCAAATTAAACACTATTTCTCACTATACTTTAATTTTTCTATTAGTGACGGTAATACTAGTTGATTAATCAATTATTTTGCTCTAAAAATCATCGGTTATTTCACCAAAAATAGTGGTGAAAAAAATTCAGTAAAAATTCAAAATATTAAAAAAAACAAAATTTTGGATTAGTATTTTCTAAAAAATTAATTTTTTTTTTGGAAACAAATACTATTCATGGTACTCGTTTTCTACTAACTAGGACTCAAAGAATCGAAATTTGAAGTCGAAAAGTTCGGTATTATCATCGTTTCTTACTATACTCGTATTTTATTAATTACACAGTTACTATTAATTATATATTTTTAATTATATAATATTTTTAGAAAATATTATGTAAATAATATAATATTTATTTCGGTAAAATTTGTTAAATAGTTAATCACTGCCGGATTGTTTGATAAAATTTGTAATGAGTAAACATATTCCAAAATTCAAAAAAGAATTTTCAGAAAACGAAAGTTTGCTTTTTCTTTGTATTTTTGAAAGAAAAATACTTATTTCTCTATTATGGTGGCATTAAAATTAGTTAACCAGTTTATTACTGTAGAATTTTTTTCTAAAATTGTAGAGAATAAAAATTCAAAAAAAAATTTTGAAAATCAAAAATTTTGGATTCTTTAAAAAAAAGAACGTACCATTTATGGTACTCGTTTTCAACTAACTAGGGCCCAGGGAAACGAAATTTGACCTCAAAAAAGTTCAAATTTAACCCCTTTTCCTTCTATACTTAAATTACAATTTTTTTTAAATATATTTTTTAATTTCCGGGCATTTATACCAGTGATTATAAAAATTTACCTTGCATTTTGAAAATTTCCGAATGAAAATTCAATTTTACAGCAAATGGTCTGCAAAATTGTAATAAGGAAAAAAGGGAGAGTAATTTTTTTTATTTTTTTCGGGGTTTTTTTTTCTTATTTTTTGTAGTGAAAATATGTGTTTGTATGGACGTCGTGAGGAAAGCATCGATCACTTCCGCACCGCAGGTTATAATACCTGTCTTCGATGCTGAGGCAATTAATTGGTGTACCAACGATCATCGACGTTTGCCGCTGACTTGCTGACGCATATAATCACCATATATATTTATATATATATACCCCCCTGACACCTTTAATCGATTAACAAGTCGTGATAAAATGCTTGGTTACCAATAAATATATAACGAGTCGAGTGCATCACACTTTTCGAATTATAACCTCGTTTTACTTTCATGTCAAATTTTTTTCTTCTTAAAATTCCATTTTCTTTATTATTATTAATTAATTTTATTTATTATTATTAATTAATTTAAAAAAAACTTAAAAATAGTTTGCTAACATTATTTTTACAAAAATTATTCGGTAAAAACAATTTTTTTTTATTATAAATGAAGAAAGAAATAAATGAAAATTAAAAAAATGAAATGAAAAACAAATTTTCATATAAAAAAATAGAATCTGACAAAATAATCACATTTTTCTCCAATTGCATCGAGAATTTATAATTTTTGATTGTAGAAATAAATTTAGCGAACGTAAGTTAGTAGAAAACGAATACCATAATGTATGTTTTGAAAAAAATTAAAATTTTCAAAAAACACCATTTTTTTATTTTTTTAAATTTCTGTTTTTAGTAAAAAAAATTTATTTTACTGTAAAAATAGATTTTTTACTTATTAAATTTAACACAAAAATATCGATTTTACTTACGGCCAATTATATATTTTTTCGCAAAAAAAAAATTCAAAAATTACCAATTTCAAAAAAGTTGAAATATTTTTCAAAAACGGATTTTATTTTTTAAAAATCCATTTACCATCTTCATGGTACTCATTTCCTACGTATTTTAGGTCAAGGAATTCAAATCTAATATTAATAAAGTTAAAAATCTCGTTAGTTTTCTTAAATATTGAAATTTTTTCTTATTAGAATCAAACTTTTGATTTTTTTTTCAAATTAAAAACAAAATTTCGTACTTTTTTTGCTTTTCACAATTAATTTAAATAGAAAACGATTACCATAATCTTTATGTTATGAAAAAAAAATCAAATTTTCAAAAAACACATTTTTTTTATTTTATTTACTCAAAATTACATTTTTATTATTAACTACAATAATAGACTTTTTGCTTAATAAATTTTCAGAGTGACATTGATTTTATATACAGCTAATTGCATAGTTTTTAGCAAAAAAAAATTCAAAAATTACCAATTTTCAAAAAAATCGAAATTATTTTCAAAAATGTATTTTATTTTTCAAAAATCCAATTAGCATCTTCATGGTACTCATTTCCTACGTATTTCAGGTCGAGGAATACAAATCTACTATTTAAAAATTAAAAAATTTCGTTTTTATCTGAATTAATTAAAATTTTTTATTATTAGAATCAAATTTTTCGTTTTTTAAAATGAAAAAAACAAAAGTTTGAAACTTTTTATGCCTTTTAATTCAAAAAGAATGAATTTCTGCATGAGACATTTTGAAATTAAATTTTTTCCCCTTCATTTCAAATGGAGATGACTTTGGCGAAAGGAGAGAGGAGAGAAAATGAAAAATGACTTGTAGAATAGAATTTGACAAATTTAAGCTACCGCATGAAACGTGTTTTTTTTTTTCGTCGTCTTAAAGAAAAAAATTGATGGGACAGGTTCCGAGGAAAACACCACAGGTGGTAAATCGATGGGATTTTTCATTGATCAGCAAAGAAAAAAAAAAAAAAAAAGAAAAAAAATTGCCATTGTGTAAAGGGCTACTGTTTTCTTGTCAGGAATATTGAAAAGAAGGGGAACCACTACCAGATTCTGGATCTCTTTCTCTCGACAGTCAATGTCTCTTTGAGAAAATAAAATTATCGATTGGTCCATTGCCTTTAGGCCGCGACGCCTCTCTATAAAGAGAAACACGCCTTCCTTTCTGCAGGATACATAACTCGACACTCCCTCGATAAATACGATCGATAATTTTACCACTTTTTTTTATTTTTTATTATTTTTAGTTTTTAAAAAAAATTTTTATTTATTTCTATTTTTTGTATTATTTGTATTTTTTATATTTTTCGTATATTTGTACTTTTTGTATTTTTTATTATTATTTATACTTTCTGTATTTTTTGTACTTTTTCTTTTTTTGTATTTTTTGTATTTTCTGTATTTTTTGTATTTTTTGTATTTTTTGTATTTTTTGTATTTTTTGTATTTTCTGTATTCTTTGTACTTTTTGTATTTTTTCCAATTTTGATATTTTTATTTCACTTTTAGCATTATTTTAAATTCCTTTTTTTTTCTTATCAATTTTAAACAATTTTTTTAATCATTTTTTCTATTTTTTTGTTTACAAGCCAATTTCCCCCCTTTATAACAGTAGATTTGAATTTCCCGTCCTTAAATACATAGGAAATGAGTACCATAAAGACGCTAATTAAATTTTTGAAAAATAAAAACCGTTTTTTTAAAATTTTTTTGATTTTTCTTTGGGGAACAATTTTTGACTTTTTTCTACGAAAAATTACTCAATTATATCAATATTTAAGGTTAAATTTAATAAGTAGCAAATCTTTTTTAATATAATTAACAGAAAAAAGAAATTTAAGTTTAAAAAAATATTAAAAATTCGAGTTTTTTTTTGGAAATTTGATTTTTTTTTTTGGTTTTTAAACATAAAGAACATGGTATTCGTTTTCTACTAATTTAGGGTCGCTAATTTTGTTTCTACTATCGAAATAGTCAGAAATAATAAATTTTGAGTATTATCACTGAAAAAGAGAGAGAAAAAGGGGGGGAGGAAGTGAAAAAGAGAGAAAAAAATAGAAAAAGAAGGGGGAGTAAGTGAAAAAGAGAGAGAAAGAGATAGAAATACAAGATTAATGTAGGAAATTATTTGCTGATTGAGAATTTTAATTAAGGAAGATTTCGACTATATCAGCAATTAGTGACATCTATTAGACGTCAATTGAACTCTTTGGTTTAGAGTCAGGTGTTATTCTTAAGATAATTACTCCGATATGGTTGTCGGTAAATAATTATATTTTTGAATTTAATTTTTGATCTGAAAAAATAAGCTGCGTGAACGACTGCACTGTGCATCTGTGAGGACTCGAACCCCAGTTAATAGCTGCCTTTCGCGGGACTAACGCCTACCAATGCAGTCGTTCACGCAGCTTATTTTTTCAGATCAAAAATTAAATTCAAAAATATAATTATTTACCGACAACCATATCGGAGTAATTATCTTAAGAATAACACCTGACTCTAAACCAAAGAGTTCAATTGACGTCTAATAGATGTCACTAATTGCTGATATAGTCGAAATCTTCCTTAATTGAAATACAAGATTCTATATAAAAGACGCACACAAGGATAATAAATTACATATGAAAAAAAGAGGAGGAGGGGGGGG